AGAATGAACATGTATTTGTACAGAGGAGCTGATTACATGTGGGTAGGTAAGGAGAATTTTGGGATAAAATCTGGGCAATCTGTAGCAGAGAGAATGAATACCTCGGGGTAAAGTGAGGCAGTCAGTGTTGGGCAGGTAGGGAAAATTTGTGTTTGTCAAATTTGAGGTCACGTGGAGCAGAGAATGTACATCCTGAGGTAAACTGGGGTAATCATTTGTGGACTCGTAGGGAAAATCTGGGGGGGAAATATCTGAGGTAATCTGCATGGTAGAGAATGAATATTGAGAGGTGAACAGGAGGTACTCAGTGGTGGACTTGTAGGGAAAATTGTGGGGGTCAAATCTGTGGCAATGTGCAGCAGAGAGAAGGAACATTTTGGAATAAAGTGAGGCAGTCAGTAGGGGAGAGGTAGGGAAATTTCTGAGTGTGAACCTTGAGCAAAACTGCAGAGCAGAGAATGAATATTTGGAGGTCCAAAAGAGGTAATCAGGAGTGTGCAGTAGGGAAGACTCTGGGGAGAGAATGACTCTTTTGTGTTCAAGAAGAGGTAATCAGGAGTGGGCTGGAAGGGGAAAGTTTGGGGGTTAAGAAGGAGGTTGATTCTCTGCAGGGCAGGGAATGAACACACTGAGGTAAGCTGAGGTGATGAGTGGTGAGAGACACAGAAAACTGTGGGTGTTAAAGTTCAGGTAATCTGCTGGGAAGAGAAGGAACCTGTTGAGGTAAAGATGAGACACTCGGTGGCAGACAGGTGGGGAGAGGTTTGAGATAAGCCTGAGGTGTGTGTGGGGTGCAGAATGACCCTCTGTAGGTACAAAGGAGCTGGTCAGACGTGGACAGGTAAGGCAGATGTTGGGAGTAAAATCTGGGGCAATGTGTCCCAGAGAGAATGAATCTTTTGGGGTAAGGTGAGGCAGTCAGTAGTGGTCAGGGAGGGAAATCTTTGTCAAACCTGAGGTAATGTGCAGCAGAGAGAATGCACCTCCTGGGGTAAACTGGGGCAAACAGTAGTGGACAGGTAAGGAGGTTTTGGGGGAAAAATCTGAGGTAATCTCTGTGGCAGAGGACAAATCTTTGGAGGTAAAAATGAAGTAATAAGTAGTTTTCAGGCAGGGAAAACTCTGAGGGTAAGTCTGGATGTCACCTAGGGGAGAAAATGAGCCTTTTGAGGTGCAGTGAGGCAGTCAGGGGTGGGCTGGTAGGGAAAATTTGTGTTTGTAAAATCAGAGGTCATGTGGAGGAGAGAGAATGCACCTCCTGGGCTAAACTGGGGTAAACCTTGCGGACCTGCAGGGAAAATGTGGGGGGTAAAACTTGTGGGAATGTGCAGGGCAGAGAGTGAATCTTCTGAGGTGAAAATGAGTTCCTGGGTGGTGGAGAGGTGGGGAAAGTGTTGAGAGTGAACTGGAGGTGGTGTGCTGGGTAGAGAATGAACATCTTGATGTAGAAGTGAGTTGCTGAGATGTGGAGAGGTGGGGAAAATGCAGTGGGTGCAGTGTGAGGTCACCTGTAGCAGAGAGGATGTACCTCCTGCTGGACACTGAGGCAGTCAGGGGTGGGCAGGAGGGGAAACCTTTGGGGGTAAAACCTGAGGAAACGTCCAGGGCAGAGACTGAATATTTTGAAGGTTAAAACTTTGGGGGTTTTGAACGAGGTTATCTCCAGGGGTGAGAAAGGACATCAGGTCAACTGAGGGAATCAGTGGTGGCCAGGTGGGGACATATAGGGCAGAAATCTTTGAGGCAATCTCCAGGGTCCAGAATGAATCCTGAGAGGTGCAGAGGAGGCAATCAGGAGTGGACACCACAGCAGGCCAGGGAAGGTTCTGGGGGTAAAATGTGTGACAGTGTCTGGCAGAGAGAATGAACATTTTGGGATAAACTAAGGCAGTCATCAGTGGACAGGTAAGCCTTGAGAAACTCTCCAGGGTGGAGAATGAAAATATGGAGGTCAAAAGGAGGTAGTCAGTGGTGAGCAGGTGGGGAAAGTTTTAGAGTAAACTTGAGGTGATCTGTAGGGTAGAGCAGGAACATATTTAGGTATACATGAGGTGATCAGCTGTGGAGAGGTGGGGAAAATTGTGGGGGTCAAATCTGTGGCAATGTGCAGCAGAGAAGGAATATTTTGGAACAAAGTGAGGCAGTCAGTAGGGGAGAGGTAGAGGAATTTCTGAGGGTGAAACTTGAGCAAATCTGCAGGGCACAGAATGAATATTTGGAGGTCCAAAAAGAGGTAATCAGGAGTGTGCAGGTAGGGAAGACTCTGGGGGTTAAAAAGGAGGTAATCTCTAGGGGAGAGAATGACTCTTTTGTGTTCAAGGAGAGGTAATCAGGAGTGGGCTGGAAGGGGAAAGTTTGGGGGTTAAAAAGGAGGTTCATTCTCTGCAGGGCAGGGAATGAACCCATTGAGGTAAGCTGAGGTGATGAGTGGTGAGAGACACAGACAATTGTGGGTGTTAAAGTTCAGGTAACCTGCTGGGAAGAGAAGGAATGTGTTGAGGTGACCTGAGGGTCTCTGCAGTGGCCAAGCAGGGAAATGTTGGGCTGAGCCCTGAGATGCTCCCGTGTGGGGCGGCTGCAGCGAGGCCGAGCCCTGGCCCTGATTTGCCAGCCATGGGCAGGGGGCTCTGTGCCAGCCGGGGGAGCAGCGGGGCCCCCGTGGCAGAGAGGGCAGGGGGGCTGTGGAGCTGCCCCGGGGGGAGGGGGGGGGCCTTTCCTGGGCTGCCTCCAGCCCCCCTCGATCCCCCCCCTTGGGGGGGCTGCGCTGCCCCCCAAGGCTGTTTGGGGCAGAGAGTGCTGCCAGCTGCGTGTGCCTGTCCCCAGCCTGGCACTGCCCACAGGGACACACGGGGCACAGATCATTGGCCCAAGTTGTGTTTGCACCAGCTGGGGCCAGAGGTGCCAGGCAATCCAAAGCAAACCCTGCTCAGCCTCCAAATCCCGGGGGAAGTTCTCCAAGCTGCTCATTGAGGGACTAAAGATACATTGAAATGGAACCAAGAGCACTCCTAAGTTTCCTGGGAATCCCAGTATTGCTGTCCTAGAACTTTTAACAGCTTTTTAAGCTTTTTATGACAAGAATGGCTTTCTTCCTTTGATTGAGTCCCTCAGTAGGATTTGGGGTTTCTTTGGATTCTGAATGCCTCCCAGTGGCCCTGACACTGGTCAGGAGCTGGCAGGACAAACAGAGTCAGAGCTCCTGGCAGGCACAGGGGCTTTCCCCCAGAGTGGATCCAACTGCTGCCCCCCAGCCTGGCCAGGCGGGATCTGCTTTGGCTCCCGGCTTCTGCCAGAGACAGAATGTGTTCCCTTGATTGGAATGAGGATCCCGTAGCTTCATCTCCTGGAGGTTCCCTGGGCAGCTGATCCACTCTGCCCCATGTCCTGCTCTCAGTTCCTGCCCAGCCAGAGCCATCTGTGCCAAGGGCACGAGCACTCCCAGCCTGGATAGGGAATGGGGGACTGGCTTGTGCACAATTCACCTAGAAAGTCAAACGAGGGGATTGTTGGGCAGCGGCTTTGGCCGACACGGCAGCACAAAGATTGTTCTCTGCAGGGGGCCCAGGTTTGGGTTCCGGTCTCAGCTTTGCAGGTTTGGATGAATTCTACCTACAGCCCGCAATTCCATGCCGAATTCCTGCTGCAACAGCCTCCCAGTGCCTCCTGGAGCCCGGATGTTCCCCCGCAGAGCTGCTGCTCTAACGCCAGGTTTGCCAGGAAGCAGCCACAGTTCCAGGTTTGCTCAGCGGGATCGGGACAAGGACAGGTTGATATTCCACAGACTTTGCTGTTTGTAACCCTCCTCCCCCAGCCCCGCTGGTGTCCCTGGGGGGACTTGAGCGAGTTCGCTGGAATTCGGCCGCTTTTCCGCCCCGGGCCGGGCTCCAGGGGATGGGTTCGCCCAGGAGAAGGCGGGGGCCGGACGCGCTCCCGGCCCGGGGCGAGGCAGCCCCTGAGCAGGGGCGAGGACGTCTCTCCGGCCGGGAAGCCGCTGTCCCTTCGGAGCCTCGGGAGCGGCCCCGGGGAATTCTTTTCCCCGAGGAAAGGGATGCACAGCCCTGCCTTCAGGGCACCTCGGCTCTGACCCACCTGTTCCAGCTGTCCACGGGCTCTGCAGGTGCGGTTGGGTCCCCGAAAAACTGCGAATTGCCTCCGAGCCCGACTTTCTCCGAGCATCCCCTTTTCTTTTCAGGCATCTCCGAGGGCTCTGGCTCGGGCTTTAGTGCCGCTGAGGGCACATGGCCCCGGCTTTAAGGCTGCTGCTGGCTGCTGGGCTCCGGCTGGAAGGGCAGGGATTTGGGGCGGGCGGGACACGCGTGGGGGGCGCGGGGGAGCTCTGGGAGGTGGGCCCTGGGAATGGCTGCCCGCGCTGCTCTGCAGCCCCGCCGTGCCGACCCTGCCGAGTGCCGCCTGGATTCTTTGGGTGCTTCTGGGCTGGCGCTGGGGCGTGTCCGGGGTGAGGCATCTCAGGGGGCCCGTTCAGAGCAGCCCCCGGCTGAGGAGCCGCAGGCAGTCCTTTCCCCGTGCCCACCCCGGTGCCCGTGGCTGGTTCCCCCCCCTGGGATGTGCGTTTGGCAGACGAGCCCTGCTCGGGAGACAAATCCATCTTGTGCCCGATGGAAGCGCTGGCCCGGGGCTGCTCCATCCCTGCTGCCAGGAGCTGTGCTGGGAGTCCTGCGGCTGCGGGCGGGATAGCCTGAGCTCCGGACGCTCCGGAGCGCCGGGAGCCCCGGCAGGGCAGTGCAGGGCACAGCTCCTCCATCCCCTGGCAATAGGAAGCCCAAGCAGGGCTGGGTCACTCTCTGTCGCTCCGGCCTCCTCCCGGCCCGCGTTCCCTGCCCACTTGGGACTGCCCAGGAAGCCCCGAGAACGTTCCTGGCGGGAAGCGGGAGCCGCCGAGGGCTCCGTCCAACTCCGGGCCCGAAAAGCGGCCCCGACCTGAACCCCCCCCGCATTTTGGGTTCCGAAGGCTCACCTGGAGGAGACACCCCCCCGCAGGCGGGACCAGGCGGCGACACTCGACCGACGCCTTTGCCTTGGAGCGAGGGATCCCTCCCGACTCGGTTGGCTCCTTTATCCCTGGAAATGAGCTCGGTTGTCGCACGAGCACCTTTGCAGCCGTTGGGCGAATCCCGGACAGGGCCGGAAAACCTCCCTGAGCAGGGCAGCGATGAATTGGTGCCCGTCCCCAGCCGGGCACAGCCCAGCCGGCCCCGCTCCCTCCGGCCCGTGGCTGGGAAGGGGGGATTTAATGCTGCAGAGATTTAATAAAAGCGGATTTCCTGACTGTATTTGCCTGCGGTTCTTCCCTCCTTTGACTCGCGCGGCACCGTCCGGTTGGAGCGTTTCTTGGTTTCCTCCGCTGTAGCCGTTTCCCTCCCAGGCAGGACCTTCGCCGTCTGCAAATAAAGATGGGGGATTTTTAAAAAGCTGAGGGTTTGCCCCGGGAGGGTGCGAGTTGCCGAGGAAGCGGGGGAGAGGAAGGAGAGCCTCAGGTCTCACCTGGCAGGTGTCAGATGAGCCGCACCTTCTGGATGGCAGGGCAAAGAACTGCTGGGGGCAATTGCCGAAGTTCCGCAGGCAGAGCTGGGAGCAGCCTGTGCCCGAGCCGCGGCACGGTCAGCGCCGGCTCCTGGGGCCGCCTGTGGACAGACACAGGGACACGGGGACAGACGGACAGCTCTGCTCGGGGTCCCGGAGCACGGAAGGAACGAGGGAGCGGCTGCCCCCGTTCTTCCCTGCCCCGGCAGGGCCCCGGCTCCCCGCGGCCGGAGCGGGCCCGCGGCCGGAACCCAGGCGGGCCCCAGACCCCTCGTACCCGGGGGGCCCTGCGAGCGGGAACCTCCCGGGGCCGCGGGGAAGGGGGAGGCGGGCGATGTTCTTCGGTGGAGGGGGGGTGCGGTGGCCTCGGGGGTGCCCGAGAGGGAGGAGCTCCGATCCCGCGGGGGGTGCGGGCGGCGCTGCGGGCCCGGCGGGATCGGGGGGTCCCGGGGCCGGCCCGGCGTGTCCCCGCGCCCCGGCCGGTCCCAGCCCCGGCTCCGCGTCTGCCCGAGGAAAGCGCCGCCGTTCTGCCCCGGCCGGGCCCCGGCAGAGCCCCGGCCCGAGCGGCCCCGCCGGGCTCGGCCCCAGCGCCCGGCCCGGAGCGGCTCCTCCCGCCCGCGGCGCCGGGGCACGGGCGGCGATCCCGGTTCCCGGTGCCCGTCCCGATGCCGAGCCCCCTCCCAGCCCCAAGCCAACCCCGATCCTCCGGTGTCGGTCCCGATGCCGAGCTCCATCGCCAGCCTCGCTCTCCGCTGCTGTCCCCGCTCAGCGGCCCGGGCTCGGCGCAGCGCCGGGAGCAGCCCCCGAGCGCCGATCGCTCCCGCCGCATCCCGGGACGAGTTTCCTCCCCAACGGCGGGGCAGGCGCGGCTCTGCCGCTTTTGAGGGGCGCGGGCGGGGCGGGGCCGGGGCGGGGCCGGGGCCGGGGCAGGGCCCGCACAGGTGCGAGGGGAGGGGCCCGTCCAGGTGCGCGGGGCGGGCACGGGCGGGGGCGGGTCGGGGCGGGGGGTATTTAAGCGCCGGAACTCAGCCCCTGCTCCCGTTTGCTCGGGCGGTGCGCGGAGGGGCAGCAGTGCCGCGGGGCCTCGCTCTGCCGCGGCTCTTTTTCTTTGCTTTTCTTTTTCCCTTTTCTTTTCCTTTTTTCTTTTCTTTTACTTTGTCCCCGTTCCTTCGTCCCCTTCCTTCCTCCCCCCCCAGACCCCCCCCCCTCCTTCCCTCCCCAACCCGCTCGTCCCCTGCGCCCCCTCCCTGCCCCGTAGGGTCAGCCCGACCCGCCCAGCCCTCCTTCCTGCTCCTCCGTCCTCCGCCCTCCCTGGCCCCCCAGCCGGCCTGGCCCCCCAGCCGGCCTGGCCCCCCAGCCGGCCTGGCCCCGCTCCCCCTCCGGCCCCTGCTGCACAGCCCGCCCCGCCCTGCCCTCCTTCCCGCCCGTCCGCCCTGCCCGTCCCCGCACGCCGCCTCCCCCCGGCCGCTGTCGCTGCCCTCCTGCACAGCCCGGCCCCCCCACCTGTCCCCGGCCCCCCCTGCCTGCCCCTTCTCCCCCCTCGCTGCTCCTCTGCACAGCCCGACCCCCCCCGTCCCTCGCTCTGTCCTTGCTCCCCCCGCCCGTGCCGTCCGTCCCCCTGTGCCCCGGGCCGTGTCCCCGCAGCCGCGGGCTTGGGGGCGCCGGTTTTAATAAAGCCGCGAGGGCCGGAGCCGGCGCCCCCCCTGGATCCCCCTTTCCACGGGGCCGGGCCCGCTCGGCGGGTCCCCCCTGCAGTTCACAAGCACCGCCCGACACCGCCGGGGCTCCGGCCCGTCCCGACATCACACGGGGGGCTCCGCGGGCGGGGGGCAAAGGGTGCGGGTTCGCTCTCGGCACTAGAGCCGCAGATGTGCAGAGATCGCGGTGTCCATTGCCGAGAGCGACCCCTTGGGCTGGGGGGGCCGGGGGAGTTGGGGAGGGGCCTCCTCCGGAGGAGGGGGTCCCGGGAAGGGGGGAGGGACTTGGGAGGGGCGGGTGGGAGGGGGGTGGGAGGATGGTGGGGGGGTGGGAAGGGGGGGGGG